AGCCAACATATGGGAAATTTTAGTAATCTTCACATCTTTGGTGGATTTTTCCTGCTGTTTCTATATTTCTTTCTTTCCTGCCCGGTAGTTCCTATATAACGCATATAAAGCATATAAAGCTTGATTAATTGTATATATGTTGGCTGCTAGGGAGTTTTTTTTATTCAGTGACACAATTTTTTTCTGAATTTGTGGCAGGCTGTCAGTACCACCCAGTGGAGATCTTTCATTTCCCTCCTCACAGGAAGTCAGCAGTTAGTATCTTTTCAGAGGTCAGTTATAAGCTTCTTCTGTCAACTGCATTGCTCTTCTTCCAAGGGATAAGTGTGTTAATACTGCCCAAACTAATCGAACGACTTATTTTAGCAGGGTTTATGTGACAGTTCAATAAGAGCTTCAGACGCTTTATAATCGAACTTTATAATCGAATTATATCTTCATTGATGTGTTGAGAAGCTGCTACTTTTATAAGATCTGCAATGGGATGGAAAGGAGTTCTTGATCTCATTATTTCACGTCGCCACTTTGGGCGAGTCGACAAGAAGATCAACACAATTCTGGCCCGTCAATTTGAGCTCTGTGTTGTAAGTCGCTCTATAGCTTATGATGGAGATAAATTAGTTTCCTTGAAGACTTATCAAGATTGAACTTGAGACTTTGATATTGAATATGACATATTTCTCTCTCTAATTGTTCTCTCCCTCTAGTGCCCCTTCTCTATTCTATAGTTCTATTTCTTGTTCGATTGCATCTGTCATCAGCTTGTATATTCACAAGTTGACAATTCCAACACCATGAAATGACAAGTGTCATCAACATCACGAGTGTCTAATGCCATGAAGTCTCATAACTAGAATGTATTGGTCATTTATTTGTCTTTTTTATTTTGTTATATTCAACATATGTCCAAAATGAAATTAAAATCAGTGTGATAGATATATTTGACACATAGCATACTAGATTCCCATAACATAAAATGTTATTTGTCATATCTAGTCATACCTATATATCATAACTAACATGTTATTTGATTTAACATCAAATTCTTCAATAAAATAAACTAGGATAAAATTGAGTCAAAAGTTTTTGATTCAAGATAAAATTCATGAGGAAGTGGTATCTCTTTAGGATCTATTCCAACATTTAAAAATTGGTTCTCAACGATTTTGAATCTGATCAATATCATGAATGACAAAATCAAAGCTATCAAATTAATTCGTCGTCGAGACTTGAACAGTATAACATAGGAAGTTCTTTTATCATATTACACACAGATTAAAAAAATCTTATTTTTTAACTACATATTCTCCATCATTCTACTATTCCGAAATATATTTTTACAATAAAATGAGGTTCAAACAGACTCATAATCAAGGTCTAAAAATTCATACAATATTGAGAAAAGAAAGACAAACAACAAAAACACTGTTGTCAAATGATATGCATAAATTCCAACAAAGAAGTAAAAATACAAATATTGATTTGAACAACATAAGAGGAATGTTAATCCATTTAAAACATTCCTATTGAACTTGGGCTGGTACTTCACTATTCATTGGGCTCTAGTCCTTTGCTGTTGGATTATTTCTACTTGGGCCAAATTGGAGCATTCTTACTTGGACCCTGATCACCCGTTACCAAAATTTGCTTTAGTACGCACTACTTTAGCTGTTTGGTTATCTTTAATCTGGACCCCTTATCTGCTAGCATTGTAGCCGTTCAATTTGTGGTCATGTTTGAATATATATAGCTTCTCTCTCTCTCTCCTTCATACCGATTAAGTTTCTGAGTGAAGTTTCTAGGGTTTTCCCATCCGGGTCTCTTTCTGTATTCTTGGTGGTTTTTCTCTATAAATCTTATGAGTGTTGATTTAGATTGCTTTTGGTAAACGATTTGTGAGAAAAAGTTGTATAGATTACTTTGACTTTGTGATTGGAAGAAAAGCGAGAGAAATATGAAGAAATATCTGATTTCTTAATACATTTGTACTACTTCTTGGTGATTTCTTAGTAAAATTGAACGTAATCTACTTGTAGATGCTGAACGAGTGAGAATGCTTAAAGCTGAACATCCGGACCTTTGTAACGAAAATCCTTTGTGCTCTCTTTACTGTTCTACAAATTACTATTGCTAAATATTTGTGAATACGATTCTAAGACCAACAATTCCTGAAATATTAATCAAACACAATTAACAAACAGTTCATTTATCAAACAAGTTCATAGTTGTTGTAAAGCTTCTTCATCCACAATACCATCCCATTAGCTAGACATGAATGGGTAGCCTAGAAGGCTTCACCTCAATAGATTCATCCAAGATTTTGCCCATTATTAGAGCAGCCAATAGTTCTTCGTAGTCTCTAACAAAAATCCACCTTCACAACTTTGGCGTTCATCCAACAACTTCTATGCATCAAACAATGCGCGCATTTAATACTCAATACTCGACAAAGTAGTACAATAGGCAAGATGATTCACCTTAATAATATGTTTTCTTCCATGAAACTATCTAGTATTTTGTAATTTACTTTAGTGAACCAGGCCAAAACGGTACTAGTTAGAGATAAAGATCAAGCGGAGATACCTTAAAAATGGCCATCCCAAAAAATCCACATTTTCCCAGTAAGAGCATGCCCTTAAAAGGGCTCTCAATGAAACCCCAATTCTTGAATTTGTACAAAATTACAGCAGGTCCTAAATACACTTCAAGAATCTCGACTGCAAATCCACGTGGGGATGTTAATTTGTAAAGTTTTGTGATGAACCAGTTGTTTCTCACTCGAATAAAGATGTGGCCTTGGCCATCAAGCAACTCTCTTCTTCCTTTGGATTGTAGTGTTAGCATAATTAGTATAATAATAATATTAAATAATATTATTATTAGTTATATTATTTAGATTCCTTATTTTGTAAGTTTTCTTGTAGTATATAAACTTATGTTGTTCTATTAGTTACCCTAATTTTGATAACTCATAAACATTCTTTTGTTCTCCTCCTGCCATATGTTTTTCTTCTCTCTGTGTTTGATTTATAAGCATTATGTTGATTTATATTAAGGAAAATTGCAGCAACGATTCTTAACCTTTTCATTTTTTGTAAATTTTACTCTAACCTTCATTTTGTACCAACGGAGATTCCTAATCTTTGATAAATATGCACCTGAGGTCCATTTAGACGGAAACCGTCCAAAACACCATCCAGAAAGGTATCAACATCCAATAAAAACGTTATCGTAGTAGATAGTTCAAGGGATTTTTCCAGTCAATTGAAGGTGAAACCGTCCAAATAAACGTCAAGTGTATATTTATGAAATGTTAGGGATCTTCGTTGGCACAAAATGAAGATTAGGATAAAAGTATGCAAAAAAGGAAAAGGTTAGGGACCGCTGTTGTAATTTTCCCTTTATATTATTATCATGTTATCAGAGCCCAAATTTGTGTGTTCAAATCGATCTCTTCATTCCTTTCATTCCCAAACAATCCGTGCAAATTGAAAAGAAAACAAAACTCTAATATCTCTTTGAGCCGCCACAGAAAATATACAATATCTATCAAACTCGACTTCCATTGGAAGATTGATGACCATATTTGGGTTCATGACGATGAGAAAATCCACCCTGATCAACGCTTGTAGGACAACGTGCAGCATTCTGGCGGCTCGTGAACGGAGGTGGTGGGGTGTGAGGGCGCTTGTGGTGTTTTCTTGGGCAGCTTCAAAGAGACAACTTCTTCTTTGATAAGTTTTTTTTTTTTTTTTTAATTGTTTGATGGTATTAGTTTGGTTGTTTGTGCAGTGTGCAGTATATTCTAATTGTAGTTCATGGCCGATTGTTAGTTCTCGTTGATTTTTTTAGAATTGGGTGGCTTCTTTTAACTGTAATTGTTCAATTGTTGAGTTTATGATGGAAATTAAAAGGTATGATTAGTGTCAGATTAAATGATAAGAATTACTCATAATTAAGTACTGTGATGAGGAATTTTCTTAAGGGAAAAAAGATTGTAGAGTTATATTAGGGGAACTATTGTGAAACTCAAGGATACTGCTGAGAATTATGTGACAGTTAAATAATTGGGAGTCCGAAAATGCAAATTTTTTTTGCTTGGATTCATAATTTTGTTGAGCAATTCATTGGTATACAATTGGCGAAGCATGAAACAGTAAAGGAAATTTAGGATCATTTTCAAAAGTTGTACACTAAGTCTAATTTTGCAAAACGGTATCAGTTGAAGAATGACACATGGGCTTTACGATAGAAGAATATGAGTATTCTCGAGTTTTACATTGCTATGAATTCGATCTGGGATGAGTTGGTTCTTACAAAATCAGCAGAGCTAAAAGCATGTAAGGAATATATTATAGAGAGGAGCAGCAATTGGTTCAATTTTTTATGCCACTTCACAGTGATTTTGAGGGACTTAGAGGCTCTATCTTGCATCGTACACCATCTTCCTCTAGTCTCATGTTGACTAATTTAGCAAAGTAGGTTCACAAGTTTTTACCCACACAACCATGTGCTATTTCAACCTCTACTCATATAGGTTTGTCATTTCAAAGTCCTTCAAGAATTTCTTCCTGGTGGATCTTTGATTTAGATATTTCCAAATACATGTCATCTAATTCAAAAAATTTTAATTTCTTTTAATTTAAAGTTTCTTAACACTACGAAATTGGGGAATTTTTACACATTACGATCGTGGGATATAAATTTTTATATCAACTGGGATAATTTTTTATTTTTTTATTTTTTTCACAAATTTAGATCAGAATGCTAATTGTTAGCTGGAAGACTGAACATGATATGTGCAGATATGAGGTGAAGTCAAACTTCAAATTTGAAACCGATTTTATGCTAATGTGTTAGGCCTTTAGACTTTTATACTAATAGTTTCACTTAAAAGAAGCCTTTTAAAGTGAGAATGCATTTTATGATATTGAAGACATGTCTGGTGATTTGTAATAGACATGATTTTATCTTCTAATTTCTTACTTACATATTCGCTTTCAAGAGACATAAGTGGTAAAACATATCAATTTCAGTCTCCTCTTTAATCCTTGAATCATGTTATCTTGTCTGCCTATGAAACTTGATGGGATTGGGCATTTGCGACTGTCATATCTTGAGTAAATTGAAGTATTATCATCTTATATTAATTTAAAGTTTCTTAACTCTAAGAAATTGGGGATTTTTGAACATTGTGATCATGATATATAATCATTTATGCCAACAGGGTTAAGTTGATTTTCACAATTTTTTACCAAAATGCTAATCGTTAGCTTGTTGAGGAGAACAATTGATGTGTGTTAGGTTTCTAGTGTATTGGCAATCTTTAGGCAAATGGATTAATGTAAAAGACTTGTAAAAGTCAAAAAATCTTTTGGAGTTGATGGTATAGTCCTTAAAGGAGTTCAAAATGTCCAAAAAGTTCACATATGATCATTGGAATACAATTAGATGTCTAAAGGATATCAAAGAGCTGCATAAGTTATGTTCCAAATTCTCAGTCATAACTTGCAACGTATTTTTCGTGTGGAAAACATTAGAACATGGACAAGGCTACTCTAAAATATTTGTAGCCCTTTGAGTTGCGAAAGATGCGGTTGACATAAGTAAAGGTCCACCCACAAATCGAATCGCCATCCCTATTAATGCCATTTTAGTGCCACATGCAATTATTCGAGGTTGAAGTGCCATGAATAACCCTGCAAAACTCGTTGATTTTAATCTTCGATTTTTTCAGTAATGTCTACTGCGCATGTCAAGAATGTAGAAATACGTACCCAAACTAAACATGGCCATTCCGAGCCCGGCATCCGAAATGATTTTGAAAGAGTATTTCACCAAACTGGGCATCCCTACTTTCCATCTGCTCAAACAATGGATTTTTTATTCTCGTAAAAGAAATATAGTTAAGCTTATTTTTGTTGAGTAATGACTTACTTAAATGAGATTAGGGACCAAACAAGGCCTAAAACGCTTGAATAGGTATTTGGATTTCGAGAAAGCTTTCTTCCAACCATGATCAAAATTAATCTTAGCATCACCAAAGCACGTGGCATTTCTTGATTGGTTGATGTAGTCATCTCGTCCCTTCCCTCTTGTACTTGAATTTTTGCACAATCTCTGAAGCTAAGATCTTTATCTGTAAAAGAAATAATGAGATATATTTGATACACTGAATTATATAGAATAATACATAATGTTCCTAATCATAATTATGTGTTATCGAGTATATACATGCATGTGTGCACAAATTATGAGTTATTGAGTATAAAGGTATAAAAATTGCGTGATTCATCCCTAATCATAGTTCAATTGACAAGTTAGTCTTTACCCTTTGACAGTAGCCTAAGGTAGAAACTTTTTAAATTATAACATGTGATAGTTATGTGAAGATTATTTGACGGTGTTTACATGGTTTGACCGTCGAAACTAATTATATAATTGTAAATTACTCCTTTCTAAAAATTATAAAATCTAATGGTCGAAGATACAATTTTCCTTGTTTTGAGTCTTTCGACTGATGGGTAACAGTTGCTAGGTCTGTGGAAGACCAAAGAAAAGGGAAAATGACAGTTCCTACCCTTACGATAAAGTTACATGAAGTGGGACTTTCATCATACATACACTCTATTATTTCATAAATTCAAATGAAGCAATCATACATGTACTCCAATTAAAGCACACGTGCTTTCAAGTAATCATGTAATCCATTAATAAAAAGTGGACCCGATCAATATTTTTCCTAAATTTGTCCCCCAACTCCCACATTATCCCTTTTTAAATCATAATAAAGAGAAGATAAAAATTGCCCTTTTCTATTGGATGATAAAAATATAGATAAATCGAGTATTGCTAATGACTCGTTAGTTCAACATACTTGTTAGCTTCTAAAATGCTGCTTTTGAATATGTTCGGATAATTTTTTGAAAGTATTTAGGTTTAGTTAAAATAGTTTTTAGATCAAACTGACCTAAGGTAGCTTATTCAAGAAGTTTTCTAGAAGAAATAAGTGCAAAAGTTCTATCAAACGAAACATGAGTATGTTGAATTGAATTATAGTCTATGTTTGAAACCACCTTTTTTTGTGAAAAGTGAGTTTTGTAGTAATGATTTAAAAAAAAAAAAAACATGCAGTTAAAAAGTAAGGAAAAATATTTGAGTTTATGTGTAAAATCATTTTATCAGAAGAATGCATAATTAAAAATGAGTTTACGAAAAAATGAATTAATAAATAATGGGGCACAAATAGGGACATAGTAAATGTGAAGGTTTTTGTAATCATGTATAAGTTTACCCACGAACCCACTCGGGAACATGGGAAAATTACTAGAAATCAAGAGATTTAACCCCATTAAGTACTAATTACTTTGGAAAAGGAGCAAAAATAATCAAAAAGAAGAGAAGGACAAAGGGGTAAAGCTTTCCCAAGGTCAGAAGGGATAAATTATAATTTACAATTGATTTCGAAAACATCTGACAATTAAAAGCAGTCAACACATTGTCATTAAAGCGAAATAGAAAGTTGAAAGATGAGAAGAACTCTACAATATAGATAGAGAATCCAAGAAAAGTATAATTTCAAGCAAGTTGTTGCAATTCATCACCCCCACTAAGTTTAATTAGCAACCTTTCTTTCTTTTTTTCTAATCAAAATTCAATTTTAACCAAATACTTCATGCACTCACAATTTTTATCGAAAGATTTATCCCACGGACTCTTATAATATAAAACAATATAAGAATCTAGACTAGAATTATAGCGTTGATGCAATTTGTAAATTAGAGTTCGAGTGACTATTGCATTGAATCTCCCTCTTACATCTACTATTCAACCAACTTTATGCATCTAGGGATGTCACGCGAGCTTGTGGGCTGAGCCGCTCGGCCGCTCGGCTCGTCAAAACCTGGCTCGTGAACGGTTTGAGCTCGTCGAATGACGAGCCCGAGCCCGAGGGGCTCAATCCCACGAGCCAACCTGCTCGGCTCATTGAGCCCACGAGCAGCTTGTGGGCCGATCTCGTGGGCTCGCCAAAAAATATTAAATTTTTTTTAAAATATCCAAAATGTGCAAATTTACAAAAAAAAATTTTTTTTACTACTCGTGAGCTCGACTCAGCACGCGAGCTTGTGGGCTGAGCCAAGCTCACCCCCGAGCAATGAGTCGAGCTCAAGCTCGGCTCGTCTTCCACGAGTCCGAGTCGAGCTCGTGAGTTAAAGAGCCGAGCCTACTCGACCCATTGTCATCAGTATATGCATCCATATCAAATTTATTATATACATATAATTTTTGTCATTTTATCTCAGTCAATTAGCTAGCTAGGAAACTCTTAGGCCTAATAAAGATCTTTCAACGTTGTGATTACATTTTTGTCAGTTAATTCGATTGTCGTCAAGAGGTGACGTCAATTCTGGTCTGCTTATAACAGGTGAACTGTGACAGGACATGACTTTGTTCACAGAATCTTGACAAAACGTACATGCAAACCCTACAGATAGCTACGTTTCTCTGCATGCATGTCTGTTTTTATTTTTGGTAAAATTAAATTATAATTATGTTTGATACTTAATTCCAAACAAAACCCTGCAAAAGTAATTTATGTCAGGTGAAAATTTTGACCATGCATTAACATACCTCCAATATGTTCATCAACAACATCGTCATTGCCGTCACGACCGCTGTTACGTATTCCAGGCGACTGCCAGATTTTTTTGACAATCGGAGATCTAGCCCATGAGGGAGTAACTACTCCAGTGGTTGTCATGGTGGTTATGTCCAATTCATTAAAATTCGAGGCCCTAGGTGTAGGCTGGAGAGAGTAGGCATCGGATGAGGCGTACCCCGATAACCTAGGACTCGTGGACCGGTATCCAAGTGCTAATTCGTTGTGAAATTCGTTCAACCGAGATGGTGTGTTGATTGAGAAAATTTCTGCATTGGAGAGATTTGATGCCCTAGGGGTGAGTCCAATTGAGGATGATAGTCTAGAGTCTGGAGCAGATGATATTGATCGTCTGATACGCACCCGAATATGTCCCGTGTCGTCAATTATCGATTCCGTGCAAAGTGGGTCCCGACCGTCTAGGGATATGACGTCATTGTCGATCTCAAATTTTGTTATAGAGGCAGCTGTGTGACCAGGGAACTGGTTATGGATTAATATTGTTGCAGCTCTATACTCAAATAGGAATAGTAACAAAGTGTACCTGCATGAAACAAAAATAAGTTTTAGCTCATTCATTTTTTAAAATAATTTTTCACATGAACCCGAAATATCACACATCACACATCATAAAAAAAATATTTGACAGCCGATTCTTAGAAAAATCTCTACCAAACATGGACTTTATTTACCGGTTTAAAATTTTACACTGTTGCTTTAATTTGTATTACTCCGCCTAAAAATTTTTTGTAGTCGGTCTCGAGCCCAAGTAAAAGAGGACAATTACTATCCATATGTTGATATTCACCGTAAAAATTTATGCACGAACCCACATACACATTCTACTGTCATGAAATGAACCATATACAGTGGTAAACAAATAAATTCACATGAAATAAGTGGTAGTTAAATTATCTTTTTTTTGTCTAAAAGTGAGTCTACTTTAGCTCCTCACTGTTTACTTTTTAACTTTTGGCAAAAATTCAATCACTTTATAAACTAAATTCAATTAACTTTATGTGTGCTCCAGGTGTTTGGCCAATGTTTCCTCACTTTGCAGCATGCTTCCAACAAAAGTCACAGTGTGTGTGACTTTTGAAGAGGTACAAACGCAGATATATATAAATATATGTATACAGTGATCGAGCCAGAATTTTCACGTAAGGAGCGAAAAGATATATGTAAAAAATTTCTACATAAATCGATCGATTTGTCGATAGAGTGAGGTTGGTAACATACCAGATAATGCACTGTAAAACAACTAATTGGACCATGAGGCTCTCTGTGAATTCTCCATACATGGCATTGAGCAAAGGAATGCCCATAACCAATGTATTTGGCAGAGAAGAAACTGAGAAAAGAGTAATCAACCAGTCCAATTCTCCTTTACAAATACACCAAAATGATAGCAAAAACAGCACAAAGGCCTTGCTCAAAGTATCAGCCAAAATGAACTTTATATCCATTTCATATGGATTGTTCTGAGATATGAAATGGAACGACAGTACCGGAACTGCAAATACGGCTACAAACCGGTTGATGCCGGAGCACTGCTCCGGCGAGAATATTTTCCACCATTTCACCGAACCATAAGCAAGCAACATTGCGAAATATAGAGGCACCATTGCACACATAACTTTGTAGAAATCATCTGAACTTATCATCTTTAAATTGCTTTGTAGCTCTTTGAAAAGAAGTTGAGTGAATGAATAATTTTAGGGTTAATGTGGTTTATATATATAGGAGTGTTGCATGTAGATTAAGTGGAAAGACAAGATTGTCCTTGTGGAATTTTGGAAATAATAATTGAGAGAGGTTGGCTGATAGTGTAGTGTACTTTGTTGCACCAAAATTACAAAACAAATTGTCCTATGTTTATAATGTTTGCAAAACAAATCATCTCAATAAAATTAAGAGTCGATGGCTGTGGGGTGGAGTGTAGTGAAGTTGAGAAGACAAGACGTGTTTGTATATTCCTTTTTCCTTTTTTTTTTTTTTCAAAAAAGAATTGCAAATATAACAGTCAAATACATGAAATGTTGCAAAAATAAGAAAAATGGTTGAGGCAATATTGTGACTGTGTCAATAGTTTGAGGGCAATTGTTCAAATTTCTTTCCAAACTAATTAAGTTGATTTTACTTGAAGGAAGCTCTATATGGACTGGTTTATTTAGCCCCAGTTGGATTTAGCAAAAAGTTAAAATTTTAGTCGATTTTAATAAAAATTGATAAAATACGTGGTTGAGAAATTAATAAAAATTGTGGATATCATGAAATATGCAATTGAAAATGAGTTTGAAAAGAAAAGAATGTTAAAAATGAGGACCAAATTGTTAGAATCTCTACTCTACTAAGACTCATCCCCATCTGTGCCCATGTTCTCTCATCTTATAATCAAAACATAGTTATGAATATTTAAGTCAATTTTTATCCTCTCATTTCAAGAGACTCAAAAGTACAATTCAATTATACATAACTCATTTCTATTTATTTATGATTTAAATAGTTTATAAACACTTCATCTATACATGCTTTAGTCGGAGCCGAGCATTTATTTTTCTTGTTAAGATTCTATTTAGCATCGACAATAAACTTGGTGATACGGCATTATGTGCCATACCAAAACAACCAAATCTCTCAATTTTTTCTTCTTCATTTTCTTTTTTCCTCTTTCTCAATCAAGGTCTTTTGAATGACCTCGACAATTTTGTAAGTGGTCGATTTTGAGAGTAGGGTTGGGCACATGTCGAGTACGGACACAACCGGCAATCGAAAATAAAATCAGCCTACAATATTTGTCTTTTATATATAATAATAAATCTGAAAGTGAAATGTATCGTACGGTACCTGAACCGGTCGGATGCGTGCATACTGGTCCGCACCGTCCCATTAGTTTCTGTCTTGCCATCAATTGGCTTCAAAAGAGAACAGTTTACTGGATCGAGCCCAGGATGGATATTTTGGGTCCAGTGATCCAAACTTCAACCACGTAACCCATTTAACCATTTGGACAGTCCGCATTTCAGACTCGGGTCGGATCTACTCGACTCCATTGGACCCGGAACGAAGCTAGAACTAGAACCAATGCTTGATTGCAACAATGGCGAGCATGAACACTGCAAACAAAAGCACAAGATTCTTCCCTTCACACCCTCACCACAGCGCCACTTTCTGCACCCGTATCCACCAGATCGCCGCCCTAGCCTTAGTCGTCGCCACTTTCTTCCTCACTAGACTCTTTGACCACTCTCTGGGACCCTGCTCTTCGCCGCACTTCAATTCATTCGCCGATGTCAATCGACAATACGACGGCGTTTTGAGATTTGGGGATTCCGTTGGATGGCCCGATCGAGGGTATGGGACTCACCTGAATTTGAAGATCTATGTGTATGATGAGAACGAGATTGAAGGACTCAAGCTACTGTTATATGGCCGTGAGGGTAAGATTTCTCCTGAGGCTTGCATCAAAGGCCAATGGGGCACTCAGGTAATTTGATCTGGTAATGTGTGCTTTCCATTTTTAATTTTTTTTAAATTTTTTTTCCCTCTCACTAAACTTGGAGTTCTAATTAATTTGGGAAAGAATCAGAATTATTGTGAAACCTTCCCACGTTACATTTCCTTTCTTGCATTGGAGCAATTGATAAATTTTATTTTATATTCTAAGGCTTCGGAATCACAACTCTCAGGATAAGGATATATCAGATGCGAAACATTTATCGGATGAGACTTTCTCTGGGATAAAAGCATTAATTTTTCTTTTCTTTTTAAACATGGGACTGTGGCTGTGCATACTTGAGAAGAAAATGAATGACAATGAATTGATGACGTGCTGAGAATCAAGTAGTAGGAGATATATTGCGTAGCGAGGACCAGTGTGTCATGTACAAATAAGAATGAATTGTACTTATGTTACGGATACATCAAAGTAGGTTATTAGTAATTGTTGTTGGTGAATTGTGAGCCAGAAGTATGATTGAGTTTACTTTTATGAAATTACTCTCATTATCATGAAGGGGCACAACTTCACCCAGGCATTACGAAAATCTTACGAGCAAGGTAATGAGATAAGCAATCTTATGAAAGAACATCATCCCTATGTCATTTTTTATAAGTACTTAGGACCTGTGGTTCTTTTTCAATGTTATTCATTAAAGGTAAATAGAAGCTTTTTCCCTCGAAACATCTGCCTTGGGAAGAAGAAGAGGGCATGAGCAAGAGTTATAACAAGCAAAATTGTAACTAGGTTTTTCTTTTTTGTAGAACTACTTCAGTAATCTGTTTCGATATAAATTCTCCATGTCCTGTAGGTTAAAATACACAGGTTGCTTCTGCAGTCGAGGTATCGGACAAGAAAGAAAGAAGAGGCGGATCTGTTCTTTGTGCCGACTTCTGTTAAATGCGTTCGAATGATGGGTGGCTTGAGTGATAAAGAGATCAACCAAACTTACGTCAAGGTACTGTGACTTCTGATTCTAAGACTGGTAACTTTACAAAAATTATAATATTGTACTTCAAAATTCACATGGACTGTATTTTGTTTCAGGTTTTAGGTCAAATGCCATATTTCAGGTTATCTGGTGGGCGCAACCATATTTTTGTCTTCCCAAGGTATGATGTTTTGGTTCTTGGTAATTGTGATCACATGAGTATTGTATTACCAACTTTTTAATGAAATTGCATTTATAAGGAAACATAATTTAGGAACTTGTATGTTACTTAATTAGACCTATACTTTAGATTATTAGAATGATGACTGTTTTCCTTCCGTAGCACTTAATTGTTTAGTATTTGCAGTCTTCTGAATAAATTTGAGTTTTTATTCTTAAACAAAGTTCTCTGAACCAATAATTCTTGTCATTTATCTTTATGGGTCTCATTTTGATGAGATCAAAAGATTCAAAACTGCTTGCCCTTTCAAAACATAAGAAGAAGAACACAGAGTTAATTTAAGGAAGGAGAAGAAAGCAAGTGAATTCTCGTACAAATTTTCTGCTTAGTTTCACATTTCTTTGATACTACTAACATGAAGTGTATATCTACCTGCTGGGAAGCTGATTTATCCAGTAGGTTCCAGCATTTTTGTTGAATCATTTATGATGTGCGTTCTTCACTAAATTACAGTGGTGCTGGAGCTCACTTGTTCAAGTCTTGGGCAACATATTTGAACCGTTCCATAATTCTGACTCCCGAGGTATGGTCTTGTTAGAACGTATTCCTCGTCTTACCTTGGTGAAGCCCGAACCTGCTTTTGGTTGTTTGAGTAGTATTGTCGCCGCACTTTGCCTCTTGACTTGGAATATTTTAAAAGGCAACAATGCGTAGCTGAGAGTTTCAATTTAGCCAATTTATATGTTGAATTTAAGTAGAAGATCTTTTCGGAATCAATTTTCTGAAGATTGTTTATATTGTGAATGCAGGGAGACCGCACAGATAAACGAGACACTAGTGCCTTCAATACGTGGAAAGACATCATCATACCTGGAAATGTTGATGATGGGATGACAGCTAACGGGGCTAGGCTGGTTGACCCTTTGCCTTTATCAAAAAGGAAGTATTTGGCAAACTTTTTAGGTCGAGCACAAGGAAAGGTTGGCCGTTTGCAACTAATAGAGCTCGCAAAGCAATTCCCTGATAAGGTGTGCATTTCTTTTCTGGATTGTCATATTCATTTTCTGTTTTCAATTTTTCTTTTGACCAATATACACGTGCTTCAAAATTCTCCAAAAAAGGAAAAAAATTATTTGAATCGTGGATTTATTGAAGGGTTACAAGCAGTTGACTTTGTGGTTAGGAATCTCTATCGATGCATAGAAAATAGCTTTAATATCTATGGAAAGGGAATTAGTACTGACACTCTGTATATTTTATATTTTTATAGAAAATATTAAGGTCCAGCATGGAAATTAGTCTCACGGACATGTATATATAGATCATTGAAGTCATATTATATATCTCTTCCACGCCCTCTATCCCTACTGAAACCAGAAAATTTGAAAAATAAAATAATTGTTCCAGGACAAGTTGCAGGGAATTTGGGCCCTTTCAAGAAAGTGAAAAAATGCCTTTTAAATGTGTCTTGCTTGGAATGTGTCCTAATTAACGTGGATGTTTTGGGATAAGGCTATGGTGGGTTAAGTTAATTATTTGAATATAGCCCTAAGCATGGAAATGTCAAGACGGGTCTTAGCAATGGTGATTCAAATGCTTACTATGCAGATTGGACTTGCAGAAATTGGTCAACTTCATTGGTTTTGCTACATACTATCATTGAGACCGCCTATTTGGATTGATAATTGGACTATTTGCTTGTTACTAATTGTAGCATGTCAGAAGTGTAGCCTTATAAGCTCACCCAAGCATAATTTTGGCTATTTTTTATGTATTTAATTTATGTACTGAATCCCTCGAAAAGATAATACATGTTGATTCTGTGAACAGTTGGAATCCCCTGAGTTGAAGTTGAGTGGCCCGGACAAACTTGGAAGAGCGGAATACTTTAAACACCTCCAAAATGCAAAATTCTGCTTATCTCCACGTGGAGAATCCTCGTGGACTCTTCGCTTTTACGAGTCATTCTTTGTGGTTCGTATCTTACTATTTACACATATCTTATGCAAACCAACTCTTTCTTAACTCATTGCTGCCATTTGGTTGTGCTGAACAGGAATGTGTTCCGGTTATCTTATCAGATCAAGTAGAATTACCTTTTCAGAATATAGTCGACTACAGACAGATATCTATTAAATGGCCTTCTACTCGCATAGGACCCGAACTTTTGGATTACTTGGAATCTATTCCAGGTCGGGCTGCAGACTTGTTTTTTGCATCTTTCTTGCTTGATGTAATCCGTTGATTTGTGGCTAAAAGCCTTTTTTTTTTTTTTTTAGTTCAGATAATGATATTGAGGACATGATAGCTCAAGGTAGAAAGGTAAGGTGCTTATGGGTTTATGCTCCTGAATCCGAGTCGTGCTCTGCGTTCACTGGCATTATGTGGGAACTTCAAAAGAAAGTGACGCAATTCCATCAGTCTACGGAGACATTCTGGCTGCATAATGGATCTATAGTGAACAGAGATTTGGTAGAATTTAGCAAATGGAAACCTCCCTTGCCATTGCCTTAAATATGGTCTGGAGGGGACATTTTGTCTCTACTATTCTTTACAATATATTGCGAAGAGAGAGAGAGAGAGAGAGATGACATGCTTTCGTAGCATATTTGCTGTATAGAAACGACGATGTTGAATTTTTCGAGGCAAATAGATTACTTTTTTCCCCCCTCTCATATAAGCTCATTGATCATTTTGCGGAGAATTGTTTTTTACATTTTGGGTATGCTGTATTGCTGAATCGAACATCATTGTGCATTTCGAAGAAATTTAAATCTAGTTGCAATGATTATTAAAAAGTGAAATTTTTGAAAATGCCAAGCCAAAAAGTGATATGGAGTGCAATTTCCTCAATATTGAATGTGTCCTGTGCTGGCTTGTCATTGTATGTGTTGTTGCCGAGTTAAGTTGTAGAGGCACAGCGGTCAGTGGGCATGGACTAGGGGCCTATTTTAAAATTGTTGTTCTATTTGAAAATTTTTATTTACTTTCATTTTACATTCAAAAATCAATAGATAAGAACTCTAGTCCTAGTCCTAGTCCTAGTCCTAGTCCTAGTCCTAGTCCTAGAGTGGTTGAGGTGAGCTGCGCCGTGCCCAAAATATTTTAGACCAGCACTCCTTTAACAATTCTAAAAATGAGATTTTAGCAACAAATATTCTCCCCCATACAAGTTGACAACTGAGATGATTTGCTACACAGTACAACATTTAACATGTAATTTACAATTGATAAACAGATTAGACCTTATAGGGTACACCCAAGAAAGAACAAGTTTTGCTATTTATTTAAATCTTCAAAATTTTGATAAACCCATACTTTTGGTTGAGAGAAAATGGATAAAATTGGGCACACGATTTGTCGTCTTTCTTGGAAGAGCAAATGGCTCAATCTCCATCGAGAAAGGGATATGACTCGAGGACAATTAAGTGTACTAATGATGAAAATGAGGATTCATTAGACCTAGGTACTGAATAGGAGGGCTGCTATTGTTTCTGGGGTGTATTTATATTCATCAGCAGCTTTTGGTTTTCCAGGAGAAAGTTTGGCAGTTGTTAAAGTATGTGTATTAATGAAGAAAATGAGGATTCATTAGACCAACTTAATAGGACTGCTGCTATTGTTTTTGGGGTGTCTTCACTTTCATTAGCAGCTTTTGGATTGGACGCTGGCAGGATGCTTTGAACTTTAAGGTTGCACGAAACACCAGGGCCTGGAAAAAGTACCTGGCTGTATCACAATCCAAGTAGGAAACGGTGTACATGAATTTCTTGCAAGAGATATTCGATATCCGCAGAGAAATAAGGTATATAGAGCCTTACGTAGTTTAAATAGACAGTTAATATTTGGTATGCAGTGGGCAAGTTGCAGTCAATATTAGATACTCTTTATGTTATATGTATATAATTAATAGTCATTGTTATCTCTTTATTGTACTATAATACTACTCTCACGTTTAAGTTCTTTATACGTACGAACGATTAGCTCTAGGAGTACTTCTGCTTTTCTTAGGAGCATATTTGGTATTGCTTCTTCAGTCATAGCAAAAAAATAAGGAAAGGAAAAATGCTGCCAATATGAGCAAATTAGCGATTATCAAATCCTACTATTCAAATATACTGTTTTCCTCAAGTGAAGACATTTTGGAATGCTTGAAGTGTATGCGTTACTTTTTTGTGCGATTATGTGGTTTTTTTTAATGAAGATTCCTAGATGAAAATCACAAAATTTATTGAGTGATTATCGATTAAAAGCTTACATAATATCTTGTTTGGATAACTTCAAAACCATTCCATTCAACATCAATTAGGAACTTCATAAACATGAATATTCCTCAATGTCTCGGGCCATTGAGTATGAGAAGCAATTAGCATATCAGCGGCCCCAACCCATTTTAATTATTCCTTGTAATTTTTTTATATGTGAGATATTAGTTCAGTTAAAAAATAATAGTAATAAAAAATGTTTGATACTGACTCTGCCCCTATAGCATATATGATAAGCAACCACAAATAAAAAATAAAAAATGAGTATATTTTAAGCTTTTACTAATTATTTTTGAACAAATTTTACGTGCATGCTTGGTTCTTTTGTATAATTGGTAGGTTCTTCTTTCGTTCACACACCCACCAATAATGCATCATCATTACACACCTTTTATCTCATGGGATGGTTTTATTTCTTCTTAGAATTCATTGGTATGATAAATTCGATAAGAGTGAATCGAATAACTGACTAACTTTATTATATTTCCCTCTTATTTAACATTTACTTTGGTAAATTGGATAATGTGAATCGAATAATTGATAAAATTGTCATATGTCCCTCTCATTTAATCATTTGGTATGGTAAATTAGACAATAATGGGTCGAATAATTGACAAACTTTATGATATAGTACTTCTCTTCACTACACCAAAAATAATCATTTGCAACATATAAAAGGCAACATTCGGTAGTTAAGTGTTGATAAAGGAGTCTACTGCAACATTTTAATAAGTGAATGTTGCCATTGGTTAACATAATTGAGTTTTGGCAACATTTTTTAAATAGATGTTACTAATGTCGTCTTTCACAACGTTTATTGAGTGCTGTGAAAAGTTTCATTTTTCGCAACGTTTATATGGAACTTTTGGCAACACTCAATAAACATTGCGA